ACAGATTTCATAGCTTCTCTTATCATAAAGGGACACCGGCATTGCGTCCAGTTGTCAGGATATGATCCTGCTACTCTTTTCCTACCAGTAAGCAATAAATAATTTCATACCCTCTTAGCTTGTGATCTTAATTGGCAAGTAGCAATGGCTGACTTTATTGGTAATATTAGCTTTCATTTACCAGCCTCTAAGCTCCTGAACTTTTTACAAACTGTGCCTGTTAAATTTGCATGTATTGTCATCTCTGGGCCCTTGCTTCACGCCACTACTGTCTTTACAGATGGTCCAGAAAAAAACTGAAAAGCAGCTATAGTGTAGAAAAATGACATGCAAAACTGGCAACACAAAATCCAGGAACATTTTAAAACTACACAACAGGTAGAGTTAGGTGCCCTAATACTGGCCTTATAAACTTTTCCTCACCAAAACATAAACATAGTTAGTAATTCTGCTTATGTGGTATATAGTATGGCTCATTTAGATCTTGCACATGTGAAAGGCAGTGAATCTTTACTGGCTTTGTTTCTGTGTCCGTCATCACCATCTTTACATCACCCATATTCACTCTCATTCTAGGTTACCTTGTTCCATATCATAAAGGAACGTTCGAGCTGATGCTTTGGTACAACCACAAATGCTGTTTGCAGATTCTTCTGCATTTTTGCACACTCAAGCTGATCACACTTTTTTTTTCATCAGAAAGCCTGCAGTCTTAAACAACAGTTTCATTTGACACTTGCTCAAGCTCACATGATTATTGAAACTTGTCTTGATTGCCAGTGGCATTCTCTCTCTTCTTTTTCCTTAAAGCTTAGTGCCAACCCACGAAGTCTAGTGCCCAATGCTAGCTAGCAAACTGATGTTTCTCAGTATCCGCCTTTAGACATTTCAACTTTCTCCACATTACCATGGTTTTGTTTTTATTAAACCTTATACAGGTTTAATACATGCTATCCGCCAGACCGGAGAAAAAACTAAAAATGCAATTGCTCATTTGTTTAAATCTATTATAACTTTAGACCTTCTACAAACTATTAAAACTGATAATGGACCTTACTGTCTTAGTGCTCAATTTATATATGCATTGCAGCTTTAACACATACAACGTAAAACTGGCCTTCCCTATAACTTAACCAGTCAGGCCATTATTGAATAAACTCATCAAACTCTTAAAGTATATCTTAATAAACAAAACAGGGGAAATATGGGGCTCTCTCCTTGAGAACAGAACCTGTCATTGGAGAATTGACCAACAATGATGGTGATGACTTGGAAGGCACCAGACATTATCTGAGGACAGCTAAAAATATCGGATCAACAAGCAACTATCTGGCTTGCTGCTGTGGAAGCCCCTGCAACTGCAGAGAATTGGTTTCTTATGTATCTGGTGGTAACTGGGGAAACTTCTGAGAAAGTAAGACAGGCATGGATGTTAGGGTTGCTGGTAATACTTGTCCTTTGCCAAGTGGGATCAGCTCAAAATGTTTATTGGAGTCATGTTCTGAGTCCCCCTGTTTTTGATGTATTACATGGTGGGATGCTGACCCGCCTTTGTCATCTAATGACACTTCTTGGACAGATCTTATCCCCTTAACAGAAAATTTGAGATGGATTAAACTTAACGACTCCTTGACTTTATTGTCTAGCAATCCTCCTCTTTGTTTTTCTGGAATAGCACACGACAAGTGTGTTACTCTCATTCCTCAGGAGTATCTTCACTATCAGTCCAAAAGGGATATTAAGCTTGCAAATTTGACCTTTCTTTCTGCTGTTACTACTAATCTTACTGAAGTCTCTAATGAAGCTACACAAGTGCCTGAACTTCCTATATGCCATCTGAGTAGGGACTTCCGATATGAGTTTGAGGCTGTCCAGTGGTCTCCATGCAGACAATCTGCTCCATATCAGGGGCCTCTGTTTGACAATGGAACTTCACTTGATTGGGGTCCCCATGTTTATCTTATGTCTGCGAATCAGACTATTGGTTTTGGGAGTCCCCCTAGTAGTTTTAACACCTGGTCAGCGTATGGACTTTCAGGACCAATATTACAACTAAAAGGTAAACAAGCTTAAAGCTGGCTCACACCGATATTTGGAGACTAGGTTTTCCTTTTTTGAACGGGTTCTTTCACTTGGTGAGTACATTAATAATGGTGGCAGCTATACCCTCTCTTTGCAGAATAATGTTACTGAAACAGTCTTGATTTGTACTCCACACCCTTATATAGTTCTGTTTGGGCACGGTGTTCCTCATATAAAGCAGAATCAATCCTTTTATAGTAGTAAAGTCTCTTCCAGTAGCTGGTATACTACATGCTTGTCTTATCAAAACATTATACAGTTAAATATAACCTATGTCATGATTTTAAAGAGGCATGTAGAATTGTGGCTACATGTAAATTTAACCAGGAACTGGGAAGGAGATTCCATCTTGCATTTACTTAGAAAAGCACACCTGCAAGGGGCTTATCACGACCATTTGTCTTTTCAAATTTTCACTCTTGAGTGTGAATTAAAGAAACAACTTGAAGAATGGTCGCAGCAATTACAAACAAGTTCCCTTCATAAATTACAAGAAGGCTTTCAATGGTTAAACCCAAAAACTTGGTTATCTGGGTTAAACATACACATTTGGGTGATAGCCACTATACTTATTCTTTCTTGTATCTGTTTGCTGGCATTTGCAGATGGTTCTGTACTTGCAGATGTACCCGATGCATCTACAAGCAGGGAAGAAGCTAACTTTGCATTGGATGACCAGTATGCTCTAAGAATTAAAGAAGGCAGAGATGTAGGGGGTGCACAGCAACATATTTAAGCTTATGTACATGGCATTTGAGGTTGGGGTATGGAAAATTACTGAGGCACTGTGTGTGTTATTTTTGCGTGGGAATGAAACTTCTTGACCCTGAAAACAGGACAGGGAGTGGAGTGGGTGGTTTGATAAGGAACACTGAAAACAGCCTCCTGAGAATGCAGTTTGAGTGTGTACAAGGTCACAGGTGCCTCAGTAACCCACCTCAAATGACCATAGCGGAAGTTTGTAGTTAATACAATACCTTTCAATAAATATTTGGTGGACAGATGCTGGGACAGACTCTCTCAGAAGAGCTACTCCCTAGCCCTGCTCAGCTGGAACTGTCTGAATACTTTGTTCTTGGCATTCACTGCAAGCTATAAGCTCTGCATTTTTAGCTACAATTTCTGCCTATTACATGCCAAGCACAGCAATAGGTACTGGAGATATAAAGACAAATAAAAAAACAATCAATACCTTCAAAGAGTTTGAGAATGCTAACAGAGGCAAACATGAAAAGGTAACTAAAATAAAGTATGCCAAGTTTATTTATAGATTTTTTTTTTTTTTTGAGATGGAGTTTTGCTCTTGTTACCCAGGCTGGTGTGCAATGGCGCAATCTCGGCTCACCGCAACCTCCGCCTCCTGGGTTCAGGCAATTCTCCTGCCTCAGCCTCCCGAGTAGCTGGGATTACAGACATGGGCCACCATGCCCAGCTAATTTTCTGTATTTTTAGTAGAGACGGGGTTTCACCATGTTGACCAGGATGGTCTCAATCTCTTGACCTCGTGATCCACCCACCTCAGCCTCCCAAAGTGCTGGGATTACAGGCATGAGCCACCGCGCCCGGCTTTTATTTATAGATTTATTATGAGAAAGCTAACATGAAGAACAGTGAGGGTTTGGGACACATTTGACAGGGTTTGATTCCTGGTTCTGCCAATTACGAATTGACTCTAAGCAAGTTATCCATCTCCTTTGAGCCTCAATGTTCTCACCTGTGAAATGGAAACGATAAGAGTACCCACCTCAGTAAGGATATAGTGATTAGAAATGAGATAATAAAAACAAAGATTTGGGTATTGTTCCTGGAAGATGACATGTATTCAAAGGAGAGCTGTTTTTATCATTAATAGGGAAGCACAGGCTAAGGGTGCCTAACCCAACCCAAAGGTCTCTCAAGTTTCCTACTGCCTGGCAGCCATTCTTTTTCTTTCTTTCTTTTTTCTTTTTCTTTCTTTCTTCTTTCTTTCTTTTTCTTTCCTTTCTTTCTCTCTCTCTTCTTTCTTCCTTCCTTTCTTTTTTTTT